TGCTTTCCTTTAGGAAAATAGGTTTGTAAACTATTATTTCTTTTTTTTAATTTTAATTAATTTTATTGATATTACTTATAAAGTTTTTGATTCACAATTGTCTACATAAGAAATTACTGTTTAAGTAAGAGACATGTCAGGAGTTAAAATGAAGGAACATGAAAGCCCTCAGGATATACTTTCTAAGCATTTCTAAGCCTTTGCCTCATCATCTGTATAAAGGGAGTATTAGTACCTTTATTAGTGGTGTTAGAATGAGCAAATGAATATTAAAATTCCTTGTAAAATATAAAGCCCTGTTCAAATATTATTTATCATTTTCATGATAGGCCAAAGGAAAATTTGAAGAGAAACTTCCAGAACTGTATTATTCCCTCCAAAATAACAGAGGTTCAGAGAAACTGAGTGTAAAGTGCTTCAAATATAATCAAACTATCTCCAGTTGCTTGGCTTTAATCTCATCATCATAGGTATGTATGTTTGTTCTGAATAAGTTACCTAGAAGAACTTTAATCATTAACAATTCATATAATTATCAGGAATGAATTTCAATGTTGAAGAAGTCCTGCCTGCATAGTTTATGGGTCCTATAAGTTAAAAAAATTAAATACTTTGCAATTTGCATAGCACTTAGGGGCTGTTCTTAAAGCAAGCACAATCGTAGGGTAAAATTCAAAACCCCAAAAGTCAAGGGAATACTGAAACTTTTCCTGTGTGACTGACATTGAAGAGGCTCTTATATTTTTGCATAATGATTTTAAAGATTTTGCTCATCTTTTTGAGCTACTTCTTACTTGGCTTCCCCTGTCTGTCTAGTCAAGGTGGGAAATTAGGCCTGAGGCCTGGGCCATTCCTCTTGACAACCAGAGGAGGTGATGGCATAGGAGGTCAAGGTCAAGATCAGGCAACTTCCTCTCCCAACTCTTTTCTTTCCCATACATTGATTTGAGGGTACTATTGTGCTGTTTGCACTTGGGTCAGAATTGCTGCATATGGCTCTGAAAGGACCTATAAAAGGGCCAGTAGCTGTGAAATTCATGTCAACTTGATCACAGCTCCTCTGTTATCAAATGTGTGTCAAAGTTATTGTGTTAAGAAGTTTGACTATCACTAAATCCATGACATATTTAAATAAATAAGCTATATATTTGCAACCCTTTCTTCTAGTCCTACTTAGCCAACATCAACCTACTATCTTGTTCACCCTTTCTCTCTTGTTTATACCTATATACTGTACCTACCATAATACCTATATACTGTACCTACCATAATACCTGGTACTTGGTGAGTAGCTATCAGTAAATAAGGTTCTAAAGCCCATATGGCTCAAGTAAATCATATTAAAACAAAGAGGACTCATTTGAAATTGTAGCTGTTTACCACTTCAGTTCCTGTAGCCACCACACCTGTCAAAAGCCTCAGAGCCATGGAGAATAGACAAGGTAGTTATTCAGCTCCTGGAAGGTGGGAAGATGTGATAGTTAATTTTGGATGTCAGCTTGGTTGCCTTAAGGTATACCTAAAAACCTGGCAGAGCTTTGTTTTGGGGTGTCTGTGGGGTTGTTTCCAGAGGATAGAAGCATATGGGTCTGAATGGCCTAGGGAGGGAAGATCAATACTTAGTGTGGATGAACACTATCCAGTCAGTGAGGAGCAAGACAGCACACAAACAAAGAAAAGGCAAATGTATTTGTGTATATATCTTTGGGAGCTGGAAGATACTTTTCCCCTTCAGTCCTTGGAATCCAGTACTCCAAGATCCATGGCCTTTACACTCTAGGACTTAAACTAGTAGCTCTCAGATTCTCAGGCTTTCAGCCTCAGATTAAGAGTTATACCATTGGCTTCCATGGTTCAAAGGCCTCTGACTTGGACTCAGCACCTCAGGGGCTCTGGCACATAGATGACGAGTCATGGAACTTCTCAGCTTCCATAACTGTGAGAGCTAATTCTCTTAATAACTCTGCTTTCATATGTCTATATATGCATCCTATTGGTTCTGTCTCTCTGGAGCACTCTAACTAATGCAGGAGCCAATATGTTGCCTGGTTTTGGTGTTGTATAATTCATTTTTTTTCTTTTAAGTGCTGAAAGGCAAATGTAAAGAGCCAGAACTTCAACCTAGGAGACTAGGTCAGACCAAAACTCTTCCATGTTTCAGGCCAGCTAGCTGGGAGATGAGGCAGTGTGAGACAGAGGGTGAGAGAGTGACTTATTTAATCAATGTCAAAGCTCATTAAATTGCAACTAGCCTAGAAAATAGCTGGAATCTTCTTTAGGATTAAGGACCAATGTTGCTGCCCTTGCTTTTCGGGAGAGTATGAAAATGAAAGATCCTTGTGACATAAGGTTGTTAGAATGGTGATGGCAGTCAGAGAAACAATCCTCCTGACCTCTATGGAGCAGAGAAAACAGCTGGATGGCTGATATTTTCATCAGCTATCTTTTTATCCAGCTGCACAGATGGCACTTAAATTATATAATAAATTACAGGCATTCCAATGTACCCATCAAACTCTGCCAGTCATATAGCTTAAAACCTTTAGAATCCCAAGACCTTTGAGTATGTTAGTCACATTAGGCACAGTTAGGCAGATTGTTTTTGAACCTAATATTTCACTTATTATGAAATAAGGAATCTTTTGGACAGGGAGAGGCAATATGTATATTAAACTTCATGTTATACCTCCAATTCTTCCTTTCAACTTAAGATCCTACTTGTCTTCTTAGGTAACAAATTTCCTCCTTGATCAATAAGAAACATTTCTACGTAGTCCCAATGTCTCCTTTAGGGTAAAACTGAAATCAAGCTTTTAAAATAAAATAAGTAGTAGTATTTTTATTTCCTGTGATTATAAAGGATTTAACTTCATCAGTATTCAAGTGGTCCTGTATCATTCATGATGACTCAATAGCAATATGTCCTACAAATTATTCAAGCCTTTTCCATGACTCATGCCATGTATTATTGCAAAATAATTTTTCCCTCTCTCCTGGAAAAAAGTGTCTACTTTTTTTTTCGTACCAGGGATCAAACTCTGGTTCTTGAGCTTGCAGGGCAGGCGGCGGCACCACTGAGATAAATCTCCGGCCCTGGGCCTATTTTTCTTATGAAAAGGAGTAGAAATTTGGAAACTTTTGAGAGATATTACTAATAATACAGATGGTTAATATTTTTAAGTGAATTAAGTCACTAAGATAGAACTAAGATCCTAGAAACCACAGATCTTCATTTGGTGCAACATGAGCACAAGTATTATAAAGATTTTGCTGTGACTTTTCTAGAAAGCTGACATGGAGGTGCATGTATCATAAGAAGGGAGGCTGCTCTATGTGAGTTTGAAAGCTGATTGACAGGAGTATATCTAGGGAACTCTCAGTCTGTTTGTTCTATGATAATAAAAGTACCACAGGCTACATAATTTATGTAGAAAATAAATTTAGTTCTCACATTTCTGGAGGTTAATAAGACCAAGATCAAGTCATCTACAGGGTTGGTTGTTTGATGAGGGCTGTTCTCTGCATCCTTCATAGGGCCTTATTTCTGCATTGTTCAGAGGGAAAGAAAGCTCTGTCCTTACATGACAGAGTGCAGAAGACCAGGTGAGGTGAACATTGTGCGAAACCCCCTTTAGAGGGGCCTTAATCTTTTTCAGGTGTGAAAAACCCTCATGGCCTAACAAGGTTTTAATATTTTTGGAATTTAAACACATGTCTACACTTATATATCACTCATATGTGGAAATCTGGAATGATTTGTTCCACAAACTTGAGTATAAATGTGTGTGCATATCTCTTATTTGTGAAACAAACTCAAGCTCCTAAGTGCCTATTATTAGGAAATCTGAAACATCCCTCTTGAGCTGTCTCCACCAACCTGACCAATTCTGCTTTCTTCTCTTTCGGCCAATTCCCCAAGAATACTGGGATAGACTTACTCATTGTAGAGGGTGGAGTGATGGGCAGGGACGTTCCTGATCCCAGTGCTGGACATAAAGAGATGTGGAATGACCGACTGCCTTGGGATTGCCATCACCTTTAGCTGGTACCCAGTGTCACTATTGAACATTGTTCAAAAAATTCAGCAGACTCTTGTTTTCTCTGTGTGATGCTCATCCTGGCCTGGATGTCTGTCATCCAACAATGGGGCTCTGAACTTGGACTTTGAAATTATAACCTTAGTTCAAATCAGATATTCTGCTATTGTTCACCACAGCCAAACCTGTACACGTCACTGTGTCATCATGGCTAGCCTCAGTCACACTTCACAGTTGGACCACCACACAAGACTACCCTTTCTTCAAGGCTAGTTCAAGGGCCTCCTTGACAGTTTCAGTTCCAGATTCCTGGGCAGCACCACCTGTTTACACTTCAGAGTCTCTGTGACTTTGAGTCTCAAGGAGCAGAAGTCCATGAATGGTCCGTTTGCCACTGAAATTTGGACTTCTTTGCAAAACAATCTCCTTCTAAGGACAAGTTCTTATGAAGTAATGGCAAATTATGTTACAATACTTTAAAAAAGTTATTATTGTATCTCCTTTTAAGACCATGTATACCGAGTTCTTTATATAACTAGGAATTCCCTTTCAAATAATTTTTGATTGAACTGTAAGCCTTTTATTTTGTTTGTTTCTCTCTTTTTTTTTTGAGATGGTTTCACCATGTATCCAAGCTGGCTTTGAACTTGTGATTCTCCTGCCTTAGCCTCCCAGGAGCTGCAATTACAGGCATGTGCCACCACACCCAGCTAAACTAGAGGATTTTTTTTGCAAGTAATGTATAGTATATACATCTAGACATAAAAATGAATAATGTAATTTTTTCTTTAAAAAATTTTTACTTTTATTAGTACATGTTTGCAATATATAATTTTATATACATTGTGTGGAGATGGAATATGTACATAGCAAATCTTAATTCATTTTGCATCCCCTTCCCCTTCCTTCCCTTCATCTCTTCATCTGCTTCCCATTTGCAAAAGATCTATCTCCCTGTTTCCTATTAACTATCTTTTGTTTTGCTGTTTAAGTTATTTACACTTTGAGTTTCTCATATAAAAGAATCCATATGATGTTTAAACTTGTGTATCTGGTTTATTTTACTTAACATGATAGACTCAAGGTGCATCACTTTTCCTACAAACAACTCAAATGTATCCTTATTCGTGGTAGAGTAGTACTCCATGGGGAAAAATACCACATTTTCTTTAACCATTCATCTGTTGATGGACATATAGGCTGCTTCCAAGATTTTGCTATTATAAATTGTGCTGCTATAGACATGGGTAGGCATGTATCATTGTAGTGTGATGTCTTCAACTCTTCTGGGAAGACATCTAGGAGGGAAATAGCTAGGTTGAATGGAATTTCTATTTTTAGTTTTTTGAGGAATCTCTACACTGATTTCCATATGGGTTGTACTAGTTTACATTCCCACCAACATTGTAGAAGGGTTCCTTTTTCCCTGCATC